AGTACTGGAGTGCTCTCAAAAAGCTTTTCCTGGAGAAAAATAATTAGACGGCAGAGCAGACTGATTTATCTGAACAGAGATTAAAAACAGGAAAGGAGGAGAGGAACTTCAAAGGGTAAAATAAAGGATAAAACGGTAGAGAAAGTGGAGAGGTTCAGTCGACGGCAAAGAGGAAAAAAAGAAAGTCCTGGCTAGATGAAGCCGTTGATAATGTTTAATGCCTTTTAAGGATGAGGTGAAAAGGCAGAGGTCATTACTCACACACACACACACACACACACACACACACTAGGACCACACAAAGATTGGCCGAGCTGTAATAACTCAGACATACACACACAAATACTTGTCCTGTCCAACTGAGGACTTTGACTTCCATTCATTTTAATCAACTACATTTTATGCATTGCTGAAAAAACTAAATTTCGCAACTGCAGCATTTCTCTTAAATAAGAAACACAGTTTGAAATCAAACAGGTATAAGTTTGTCTAAGCAATAAGTTCTAAAAAAAAAAAAAAAAAGCCGCCCTGTGATTCTCCAACTACTTCCTGTCGTCTTCTTCATGATTTGCGCCAGTGACAACATCCCATTGTTGATCATGTGACTCGTGTGATGAGGGATAAGTGTTTCTGTTGCAGTTTTGCTAAATAAACCAATTTTGATACGGCCAAAAAAAAAAAAACCTCCCACCTCATTCAAAACTTTTTACCAAACAATGAGTTTTTCGAAATTGGCACGTTCCCGTTAAGCGAGTTAATTCCAGAAATGTCAAATTGCAGAATTATACGGCCAATGGAAACACAGCTGTCGTGTGTGTTGCAACCACAAACATCGGTGTGTGATAAAGAGTGAAACAGGACCTGGCTTGCATGCAAAACGCTGTGTGTGGTGGGAAACCATCAGCGTTCATCACCCTAAAAGGCATGACGCTGTGGGGGATGCTTTGCTGCAGCAGGAACAGAGAGGCTAGTAAAGGTTGATGGGAAGATCCCTGAAGACCTGAGACTGTGGCAGATGTTTTACCTTTCAACATCTGGCCTGTCAGATGAGATCAAAATTGAACCTTTTGGCCAACATGCAAAAGTGTGGCAGGAATCCAAACACTGCACATCAGCCTTAACACATTGGAACATGGTATCGGCGGCAAGATGGATTGTTTTTGGGGGGTTTTTTTCTTTGGAAAGAACAAAGCTAAGTACAGGGTAATTCTTGAAGAAAGCATGTTAGAGGCCACAAAAGACTTGAGTTGGAGTTTCATCTTCCAGGAGGAGAAAGATCCTAAAACATACCCCCAACGGAACGCTGCAGTAAAACTGTTTAGATCAGGGCTTTTCCACACGACGCAAAAAAAAAAACCCCAAAAAACTGCAGCATCTAGCCAACTTCATCACGCCAATAAAGTTGATTCAACCAGCCACCGGGGGCGCTGTTATAAAGGTGCTGGTGTTGAATAACGGAGAGGAGCGGTTTGTGTTTTATATCCCAAACCTCAATGAAAGCGGCGAGATGCTTGACATTCAGGTTGTTCATTTTACCACTAGGTCCTGTTTTGTAATTTTTTATTATTTTTTTTAGCCTTTCTGTGTTAGCATAACGAGCTGAGCCTTTTGAACAACTCGTGGTGTTGGGGCATCATATGCAGTTTTAGCTCTGCCACATTTTAAAAGCTCCCGGTTCTGATGACGGCATATTTGAGTGTTAGGATGGCCCAGTCAAAGTAAAGACCTACGTCCAATTGAGAATCTGTGGTAAGATTTGAAAACTAATCTAAATGAGCTTAGGCTGTTTTGCAAAAACTCGTTCAGACATACCCCAAAAGATGTATGTCTTTTGGGGTAGTAAGTCAAGGTTCCTCATGACTTACTGCAGTCATGACGAACCTTGACTGCAGTAAGGTTCCTCAAAGTATTCACTCACATCTTCCAAATTTAAACAACAAACAGGTCAGGAATAAAGTTGTGGAGATATAAGACTTGGGTTATATAACAATGTTCCAAAATTGTAACTTTTCACATGCTGCTGTTCAAACTGTCAAGCAAGAACAATCCCAAGTTATGAAGTCAAGTTCAGTATCCTGGGAGTATTCAGACAGTTGGGTATCGTTTAAGGTAAATCATGCAAAACAGTAAAGTAGATGTAGTGTGACAAAATATGCAGTTTATTTTGCATTTCTTTGTAAGAATTAGTCATAAGGTCACAGTTACCTTGCTGCTCAATTCTGACGTTTATCACTGGGTAAAGACTCTTCTGTTCTCAGAACTCTGCTTCTCAAGACAGATCTGTCGAAGCCAAAGGTACTCGACATGACAGCTGCTCTCCTGAATCACCAGAGCCACACTTTCACACATTCAACCAACAAAACAAACACCAGACCGACCACACAAAAAGCAGATAAGTGTAGAAAGAAAGAGAGCATGAAAGAGTACAGGATGCTCTCTGTGGTCTTTCTGTCCTCCCGTGTTCTCTCCCATCGCCGCAGAGGTTGAGGGGGCCGGTTGTCATGACAGCTGTTGTCATGGCTGTAGGACGAGCTAATAAACAAGAGCAAGACGCTGCCATCCATCCATCCATCCATCCATCCATCCATCCATCCAGCGTGGCCTGTTCAAGGCAGAAAAACAAAAGTAAACACAGTTAGCATCATGATTTAGTGGTCAGCCATGAACACCAACTGGTGCAGCTCAAGTCATATTTTTCCAGCCCAACCACGGGAAAACTACAAATTATATCAGCTGATGGTATATGCTCTGACAATATTTCATGGATGTGTTGAAGTAGAAAAATATGACATAAAAAAAAAAACGTAGTGTAAAGCTGCTTCACTTCCACCTACCTCCACCAGCGTCCATCAGAATTCTGGTGGGGGAAGCCGAGAGAGCGCCTGGAGGATCGGTTGCATGCATTATGTCATCATACCACTAGGTGGCTCTGAACATTTGTATCAATTAAAAATCTAACTATAAATACATTTTATTATTATTATGGGTGAAATTCAATCTTGTATATAAACATACATGCATACAAAATAAATAAAAATAAAAAAAAATTTCTCAAAATTGCTTTAACATTCCAAGTAATGTTCGTGTTTTTTTGGTCATTATCACTTGCATGCAACACATATGGGTCATAAAGACGTATCCCATTCACTGATGTAGCATTTTATTACAGTTTATAAACTGTGATAAACAGTTATAATACGCTGCCAGAATGTTAGCTAGTGAATAGCGGGTCACCACCTAACCCATCTGGCTCTCCTATCTACTCCCTGACCTTCTCTTTTCTTAATAAAATTGAGTTGATTTAAAACTTCCTAACAGGTTAATACACATTTAAATAAACAAACTGAAGTCCTCACCTGAGCTTCCTCAGTCTCTTCGCCTCTCTTCAACAGCATCACTATTCTAGCACTGCCATTCTCCTGAAGAGAGAATACATGTAATATTAAATATAATGTTCATTGCTCACACTGATATTACACTTTAAACTTAAAAAAAGAAAAAAGAAAAAAAGGCTCAGTTAGCAATAAAATAACTGAGTGGAATTTCCATTCTGTTCTCCCTTATTCATGCACTTATAAAATAATTACATTGATCCTGGTGTATAGGTTTAACTGATGCCGTCACTGACCTCATGTCTGCCTCCTTCAGCCCTTGTCTGTGGAGTTTTCCACTAAGTCATACAGTAAAAGAAAAGCATTATATATTAGTTGTAAAAAAATTATAGCTCTTAATACAATTTTTAAAAATACAGTTTAAAAATTATTGCTTGGGATGAAGTAGCTGTTCCCTCATTTCCACCCAATATCAAACCAACCTGTTGCCTTCCCCTGTCTGTCCTCATTCTTCCTCTGTCATCTTCTCTTCTTTCTCTCCATCCCCACAGCTGAATGACATTGATTTTGTGTTCAGTAGGATTAAAAATACAGCAGTCAAACCGCAATAAAAATGAAACTTTAGTTTTAAACAACATCCTTGTTGGATTTCTAACTGCACATTGTATCTGATCTGACTTATCAGATACATCGCAACACCACTGTAGTAGTATTGAGTAGACATTTAAACTCAAGTGTCCCCTTGCCAAGTCCTATAACAAGGGTCACCAACCTTTTTGATGTAAGTTTTGCGAGGGAACGCAAAAAGAAAAAAAAATTCCCCATGTCCCCTAGAGGGCTCCGTACTGAGGCAAGTTCCTCGTTGTCCCCCCACCTCCAAAAAAATAAAAAATAAAACCCAATTATCCTCCAACTACTTCCGGTCATCCTCTTCGCCAGCAGTAACATCCGACTGTTGATCATGTAATTTGTGTGATGTGGAACAAAAGTGTTTCGATATGGCTGACAATGGTTTTTCAATAAAATTAATTGTTTAATTGGAAAAAAAAAATTAGTTTTTCGTAAATTTTCTTGTTTCCATTAAGCGAATTTATTTTCATCATTTCAATTTGCACATTTCTGTGGTTATGTATCGTACCTAGAAGAATGAGACCCCAGACACAGGTTGCTGAAGTGATGGTGGCTGGATTCAGCCTTAGAGATGTGGTGAGGACTGTCGTTCTTTAGAGGAAGGCTAAATAAGACTTGGTGTTTCTCTGCATCGAATCAATTCAGTTAAGTTAGGTCACGAATCTGATCAGGACTCCTCCTGGGCCTCTCCTTTGGAGGTTTTACATGGACGTCCCACTCTGTGGAAAGACTGGAAGCCTATCTAGTCTGGGAAGACCCTGGAATGATGGGCTCAACCCACTGGGGCCACTGGAACGACAGATACAGGCGACACCTGCTGCGTTTCCATTAACCACATGAGGGTCAGAACATAGATTTAGAGCTTGGGACTTTCTTTACCACAACAGACTGGAGCAGACGTCATGATGCATCAATGCCTCTGCGTTGAGGGTCAGTCTTGGCCTAAATCTTTTTCTGGTTGAAAGCCATGGCGTTCAGTTGTTTGGACAATGGCAACGTTACTAGATCGGTTTCTTCCAGAGACTAAACATATGGCCTACAGCTGGAAATTCACCTTTATTAGGCTGGTAGGATTAGAGATTGTGCAAATGCCAGTTTTCAATGTGCAAATGAAAAATAAATAAATATAACCATATCAACATTTTTAATCAACTTTGAACTTATGATTACATTAGTTTGTGGGTATCTAAAACAGAATGAAGGGGAAAAAAAACCAACCACTTTATCAGCGAATTATGTTTGGTAAAAGAACAGAAAATAATAATAATACAAATCATTGAACTAAAAATATAACTCCTGAAGGGGAGCTGAAATGAAACCTCCCAAAGGAGGAGTTCATAACTGAGATGAAGCTGGTCTTGTGGTTGACCAGAGGCACATTATGCTCTTTTGGACACGTAGAGCTCCAATCAGTCATCAGTCTGTCACGGCGGCCTTCGTGTCTTTCAGCTGCTGCTGCTCTCCTTGTTCCCACCCTCGATCTTTGGTTCCAGTGATCCGTTTTCATCACCGTTCTCCAACTCTCCCTCTTGTTCCGCCTTCGTCGCTGCCGCCGCCTCCTCCTTGGCTCCGTCCCTGCTCTTCTGCCCCAGGCCCTGCTTGTCTCTGAACACCTCCACGCCCAGCAGTCGCAGGTAGTGGAAGCGCTCGTTGCGCGGGACGAAGGCTCGGATGGACGTCTTTCCCCTCCAGCCGCACAGCTGGATGGGACACTGAGGCTCAGAGGGGTTGCTGTCGAACAGAAAAGGACAGGGTCGGAGGGGGTATGAGCGCCACAAACCGCGACTTCACTTTGAAAATACGTTTTGTAAAGACGAAGATTTAGGCGGCTTACTTGGGGTTTGGGATGTACTTCAACACTATGCTGCCCATTCCTGCGGAGAAAGACGGTTACGTAACGATGATTAATGACTACAAAGCGATAGAGGATCATTTCAGAGTCTATTTCTATACCTGCATGAGGAGCTCTAACCAGGCTCGCTACTTTTAATTAGAACCCGAGGAGCAGATGAATAACTTATGCCGCGTCAGCGTTTTTTTTTTTTTTTGTGAGGACGGAAGATGAACACGTTGTACTTTAAGAGCAGCTAGTAGGTACGGCGTGAACTTGGCAGGGCGTACCCATTTGCTTGGCCTGAGCGTGCGCGTCGTCCTCCAGCTTGCTGAGGAAGGGGTTCTCCTGCGTCAGCAGCACTTTGATGTCCTCCACGCTCACTCTGATTATCCTGGAGCGAATGTAAGGCTGAAGGGTGTAGATGCCCTGAGAAGGTCAAAGATGAGATGGTGGATAGTGAAGTCAGTCAGAGTTCGGACACTTTTCACCAAAGTAAAATTCAAGCACTTTTTGAGGTACATTTTCAAACTTGGAACTAAATGTCATGTTTTGAAAAGTCTCTCACACATTTAAACTGAAAAAAAAAAAACAGTCTCACAAGCAGAGGCTGTGAAGAAATTTATTCAACTGTTCAAATTTTAGCACAGGATCTAAAGACGAACGACAAGAATGAGACGGTTTGAACATTTTGGTAGTCGTTTGGTTCCAAGACGGCATTCAAGGTCAAGTTCCAAATCTAAAACAATGCTAAAATATCTCAATATATGACCTAATCGGTATTTAACACTAAATCAAAAGAGAAGTCTGAGAATTTAGCTCAATATTCAGAGTAAGAGATCAATAGAAAACACTACTATAACAGGTTTTTATGCTTCAAATGTGGAAAAACTGGAAGTTAATTCTTTGAAACAACCATAACTGCAGTTCTTACTTTTCATTAAGACATTGCGTGTTTCAGTTCACTACTATATGACATCAGTTATTATCGTTATCCATAGTTTACATAGCGCCATCTTGGTAGGGAAGCACAGTGCAAAGCATATGTTGTACTTTATTGCAAAACTGTACAGTTTCCAGGACTTGATAAAGAAATCAAGCACTTTCCAAACCTTAAAAAGACCTCAGTGAAGTTGAAGCTTTTTCAACATTTCAAGCCTTGTAAACTGTGTTTCGACAAAACACAAATGAATGTGGGTTCAGTTTTCTGGAAAGCTTGTTATTTAGGCTCAGATCAATGCATCATTTTCACTCCGGAAAAAGTTGAAAGTTCCGTGAAAACACTGGTGGGTCACTGTGGAAATCTGACAAGGGTAATTGTAACTTGCAAACGACTGGCCTCTATAAAAAGCACTCCGTGTGTTTGTGTGTGTGTGTGTGTGTGTGTTTACCTCCTGAGCCAGCCTGAAGGCACAGCCAAACTCCTCTCCATCGCTGTTGCGAGACCACACCTTCACCCCGGTGTTAATGACCTGAGAAGAAAAGCAAAACGGAGCCAAGTGAGGCCGACACGAAACCACCACAGACATGTTGCACACAAGGATTACATAATAAGACAAGTTATTTCATTACATTGCATTAAGCTACTATGGGAAAAGTCCAGAAAAAAAAAATCTTTATTTTGTAATGAACTCCAATCTTAAATGATGCATCTCAAAAATCCTCCACCACCCGATTTTAACAGAGGGCAGATAGGTGGAACGACTCTTCACTGGTCACATTGGGTTCTACAAGAGATCAGAACCACAAGTAGATGGGTGTGTGTTGTTGTGGCAGCGATGAGAGCATTGATAAAGGTGGACATACTCTGATCGTGCAAACTAACAGCAGGATTTATGCAGATGTTAATTTCAATGGATCAAGAAGACAGGAAGACTGACAAGAACGGATCGGAAAAATGAACAAAAAGAAAGAGAAAATGAAAGATGAGCAGAGGGACAAAGACACAGATTAATTGAAAAAAAAAAAAAAACCTTTTTTCTGCTACATACAAACCAACCTCAGAGCTCTAACAAGTATTTAGGATGTTCAGGGGAAAAAAGTCGCGTCATGATATGAATAGTGAGGAGTTCTCTCTCTCTCTCTGAATCTGTATTCATCTGCAAAACACACACACCAACCTGAGCAGGTGTTACAGGGTAGAGAACCAGAGGGATTTGGGACAGAAGAGGGCCCCATCTGTTTGCGCTGCTTTAGTCACAACGACACACACACACACACACACACGCACGAACTGAGCAAAAGGCCAAAGTGACGCATTGCTGCGATAAAACAGCTTAATGCACAACAGAGCGGATCAATACCAGATATATTTTTTCTCCCAGAATGAGCTGCTTATGCATCAGGCTTTTAATGTCTCCCTCATCATAATATAACTCAACTTATACAGACAAAAAAAAAAAAAAGCTAAAGACACAGATGGCTGGAAGAGGGAGCAGAGAGAGAGAAAGAGAAAACACAAACCTTCATGCGCTCACTGTTGTTGAGCAGAACGTTGCGCAGCTCTTTGGACACCATGTACAGGTGTCTCTTCTTGCCCTCGTGGGTCCTGGTGAGAACGTTGCGCTTGGGAAAGTCAGGAGACAGATCGTAGAACGATCTGAGGAAGACGAAAGGGGGGTTAGCATGTTTTACCGACATGCTAACACCATTTCTACCCAGAATCCAAAGAGTTGCTCACTGTATGGAGGTGAAGACTGGGTCGTCTTCAGTCAGGAACACAAACGGGTCTTCTTTATAGCCAAACAGCTTCTGCTTTTTAGATGGTGGAGGTCTGAGAGACACAAAGGCGATCGTTCTAATAGTTCCTCAGATATAAAATTAATAAAGCTTGTTAATCAATCTACAACCAACAGCTGGAGAAGCTGCGGGACAGACATCAGTGACCAGAATCAAAAAGACATTGTAGGGAGCTCTGGTAGTACCAAAAAAGTATCAAAAACATTGTAGGGAGCTCTGGTAGAGCCAAAAAATGTATATATTTTGGTGGTTTTAGTTTTATTTCTTAGAAAACCGTGCCCAAGTTTCTTGCAATTGTTCTTTTTATACTGGATTTCCAAACAATACACTTCAATTTAACAATTTTTTATTGTTGTCTTAAAACTGGATGAACATCAATGTGGGCAATGAAAAAAAATCAAAAGCAGGCCATTTTAGTTTAGTTAGTAAAAACAAAAGAAAATCCCCAGTTTTGTAGATGTTGCGAATCTGTGCCGAGGGCAAAACGCCAAGGTTTTTTTTGTTGTTGTTGTTTTTTACTAAAACATTTTTTACATTCATTTTACATTAGCTGTATCTATCTTTGCGGAGATGGTGTGGATCTATGGTTTCCAAAAAGTGTGTAGCCATATTTAGAATAGTTCTAAAAGATTTATATACTGTATAATGACAAAAAGGCAAAAAAAAAAAGAAGTAATTTTACATTCCATCCATTTTCTCTAAAACTAAAGCAGCTGCTGTGATGCTTACACTTCTGACATATCCTCCTGGCTTTTAGCTTTATTTTGACACCAAGATTATACATACAGAGTTTGTAATTGCTCATAAAAAAAAAAATAAAAAAAATCTCAATTAGATTTGGGTTTGTCATTTTTTGAGTGGACACCTCTCTCTTGATTATTGGCTAAATGGGACTCACCCACACACAGCATCTTGTTTACCAGCAGCCTCCTGAGCCAGAGGAGCTCCTGCGGTTTCCGTCTCCCCGTCTCCTCTCCCTCCTGGGCCGCCGTCCTCCGTCTCCTCCGCCAAGCCTTCGGGGAGAAGACGGGGGACGTCTGCTGCCAGCGAGCCTCCGGTTTGGGTCGGAGCGCTCTTCCTCAGCTGCAGGCGAGGCAAGAAAAAATAAAAATGAACAGAAAGGAAACCTGGCTGAGGTTAGCGGGCGCGTTATGTAGTTGTCGTGTGTGTGTGTATGTGTGTGTGTATTTGTGGGGTTTTGTTTAGGATCAACGGATGTTTGTCTGAAGCACCTTGGGGTGTCTTTTGTTCCACGGCATGGGGGCTTTCTTCACCAGCACGGCCACAAAGAAGCCTCCGGTGTTCTGGTGATGAGGCAGAATCCTCATGCTGACAATAAAACACAGAAACATCAATTTCAGCTGTGACTGTTAGAGCGCCACCTGCTGGCAGAAAGCCACGACGTCGTTAAACCGGTCAGACAAAAGAAGCTTTGAAATTGTGAGGCAACAGCTCCTTCTAATGGTCTAAATCTGATAAGTCTTCAAGCAATACAATTACTTTCATTTGCTCAAAGGGATTAAAGTCGTACAAAAAAAAAAAAAAAAACACACAAAACAAGCAAGTTAGGTAAGTTTTCCAACCTGAAATTAAATTGATCTCATGATATTCTGAAACAAGAGGTTACACTATTAGAATAAGGCTGTCTCCATATTTGAGAATAAAACATGGTCACACCACTTTGGAGGGTTTTTTTTTTTTTTTTGGTTTTTGCTCAGACAGCCTGACCTTGTTTTTGTAATTTTATCCACTGTTTGTTCAGTGAGAACGTCAATAAATTTGAAAATAACACTAAAAGCAGTTCCTGTGTGCCGTTACCCAAAAAGGCAGTAATAAATAGTTCTTATGTTTATTGTCGTTACAATGTAACTAACTCCATATTGCCCACCTCTATTTTATTACCACACCATGATTGTCCATGTTTTTATGAAACCATCACTATTATAGAGAGCTGAATCAATCTTTTTGCACCTTTTGTAAGCCTCATGTTCAACATGGCAACGCACCAATTGGGGGGAATAACTTTGCTCAATTACAGCCAGAGAAAACTTGGCATCTAATTAAAGAATCTTAAGTTTTAGCGTTTTTTTTTTTTTTTTTAGAAAATTGCATTTTAAAGTGTTCGGCACCATGTAGCAGAAGGCTAACGCTTTGCAACAGGCTGCTGCAAAAACACGGAGCAGACTCCTTCTGGTTTTGTTCCAGTGAACCGTACGTAAGCGTGTGAACTGGTACCATCGCTCCAGGTGCAACCCGGCCAGCTTCTCCGGGTCTTTGGGTGGGAACATGGTGGGACGGATCTGAGTGTGGCGGCTGCTCGGAACCTCGGACCAATCCGAGAACCACTGGCCCTCCTTGGTCATCAGCTACAGAACAAAAACAAGATAGAATTCATTCTTAACTTTGAATGCTGAAGTCTTAAATAAAAAATGATGATAATAATTCAGATACACTTCGCAGTACCTTCCAGGAAGTAACCCCGGGCATCCACTTGAGTCCTGGCAGGTCGGCGGATGCGTCCGCCAGCTCCAGCGCTCCTGCCATGACGAGAAGTTACAGGTTTGATTGTTTTTTGGTTTTTTTAGGGATATAAAAATTACAAAAACTTCTCTAAACATGTGAAAAGTGTCTGTTACCTTCACTCTTCTCCAGCAGTGCCGCTATGATGGCTTCGTCCTCTATGGGGTTGAGCGAACAGGTGGAGTACACCATCCTCCCCCCTACAGCCAGCTGCTCAACGCCACGCACCGCAATGCGCAGCTGCAGCCTACAACACACACACACACACACACACACACACACACAGGTAACGCACTGGTGCCAACTTTATAAATCAGTGCCACACCAACGGGTCTTTCCTCTTCTACTTCAGCTTCGTCTTCCTTGAGGAAACGTCCGACTCACCCGTGGAGGTGCAGGCTGTTGCTGGTCGTCCATTTCTTCCACACGTCTATGTTCTTCCTCATGGTTCCGTCTCCGCTGCGGAACACAGGGCAGAACCCGTCAACACATCGACCTGTAGAACCAAAACCTCCAGACAGTTCGGGTTTCGGCAGACTGATGAGTTTGTGTCTGGTTTCGTTCCTGCCCCTGTTGAGTTTGGCAGCGTCCCTCTTGGCTCCGCTCTGGAGCCGACCAAACTCAGACAGCTCTGCAAACTGCTGCAGTTTGGTTTTGGCTAAAGGATCTGACATATCTTTAAAAAAAAAAAAAGAAAAATCACTTTGGAAATACCTGAATGGAGAACGAGCCTCGTCTCCATTAACACAAATATTATCCATTTATTTTTCCTGAAGAGTAAACTTCATTGTGATGCTGCCTTTCTTTTGTTTTCTGGAACAGATGAGTCATTTTTAATCACTTTTCTGAGCTCAACACCTAGCGAAAAACACTTGCATTACAAACGTGCGCAGAACGGCGTCGGTATTCCGCCGAAATAAAAAAATATGATTTCACGATGGTGCCGTTTCATCACGATTAAAAATCACACGTGAATACGTTTTTTCGAGCAAGAAGTCATTAAAAAACATCTTCTTCTAGCAACATCTGGCTTCTGACCGTGTGACTCACATGATGCGTAAATGGCGTTTCCATCGCAATACAGCCAAAAAAAAAATAAATAAATCAAAGACAATCTTTTAGTGAATATGAGATTTTTCAAAATTAGCAAATTTATTTCCGTAATTCCAATTTGCGCAATTATATGGTTAACTGAAGCTCAATTCATGATTTTTTTTTTAATTCTTTACCAAATGACGGACCATTCTTGTGGGATTAAGAGGAATGGATGTGCGCGGCTGTTCATTGGCAACACACACATGCAAAAAAAAGAAAAAGAGTGAGCACTCTTACTTTAACTCAAAAGACCCTCTGAGGGGGAATTAAGTTTTCCAGGAAAAGGAAAACGGATTCGTTTTCCTGTTTTAGCTAGAAGGAAAAGGGATAAGTAGGTTGTTATTGAACGACCAAATCATTCTCCAAGATGGTGACTTTTTGGATTTAACACATTTGGAATCTTGGCTTTAAGAGAACAAATAACCCAAAGCTGAACACAACGCTACGGCAGATCGCTCAAGTAAAGTCAGGGTACAAAGCACTGATGTTTTATCTTATTTTCTTATCTTGTTGTGTCTCCCGTGTTTGTACAACAACCCCCTCTCTTGTCCACAGTTTACAGCTTATCGTAAAACACCTAAAACTCCAGCCCGGTGCGTCCTCTGACCTGCAGGGAACGTCGCACAGGACTCGATCGTAGAACAGGATGTCCTTTCCGCCGTCGGAGTCGATCTGCAGCATGGGGATGCAGGAGGCGTCGTGGTTCACCACCATGATGCACGGACTGTTGAGGCGCTTGGCCTGATGCACCAGCAGGTAGCAGCGCTTGTTGTCCACGTCGTTGGCAATCACAAAGCCCTCTGAGCGGCCGAGACGGAGGTTTAAACGCTAGTTAGGACATGTAGTGGGAACAGATTTTTCAAATTTTTTATTTATTTTTTTTAACAACTGCGTTCACCTGGAAACGGCACGTCCATATCGGAGTGAAGCATCTCAATCAGCTGAGCCGTCTTTGAACCGGGAGCGGCGCACATGTCCAGGATCTGCACAGGGAAGCGTTTAGAAATACAGCTGAATAACTTCAACGTGGATGAAAACAGGAGGAAAACAACTTTTTCTCTCTATTCAATATTAGAAATGAATATTTGTTTACCTTGTGGTGGGACTCGATTTTCAGGAGCAGAGGAGGGATCATGCTGACAGCTTCCTGTCTGCTGATGTTACCCTGCAAAGAAACATTAAGCAAAGTTCTGAGGGATGTTCAAGTGATGCGGACTTTAATGGAATGTTTTTAATTAACAGGGGGAAGGAAAAAAAATAAAACGTACAGATTCAGTCTCGCTGACCAGGAACTGATGAAACTTCTCCAGCAGGGGAGACTTCCTAATGAGCTTCCTGCTCATGTTGGTGTGCCAGGCCTGCTCATCGGGATACCTGGAGAGAAGAGCTTAGGTTTATCACAGGTTAAATCTGTAAAACAAAGAAACAAAAAAACAGGTTTAATCTGTAAAATCTTTATTTACTGCAGATTTTATAGGTTAAATCTGTAGAATCTGTAAATCTGTAATAAAAACAGACTATACAGGTGATAAAGATAATAAATATAGATTTCACAGGTAAATACAAATTTTACCTGTAATCAATCAATTAATTAATTAATACAGATTTAACTTGTAAAATCTGTTAATTACAGATTTTACAAGTTAAATATGCAAAAATCTGATGTACAGATTTAACAAATCTGTAAAAACATGCAGATTTTACAGATTTTACCTGTATGTGTTACAGGTTAAATCTGCAATAAATACAGGTCCAACCTGTATTTAAACACAGGCTAATTAAAAATTTTACGGGCTAAATGTGTAAAATCTGATTTACAGACTTAATAAATCTGTAATAAATACAAATTTAATCTGTAAAATCTAATTCACAGCTTTTACAGGTTTTTTTCCTTTTAAAGACTTACCAGCTGAGAGGCTGTGGGGCTTCAATCTTCTGGCTGTCGATTTCCAGCTCCTGAATATCTTTGAAGTACTTTTCCTTCAGACAGTGGAGGATCTCCTTAGCATGACTGCAACATGGTAGGATAAAGAAAAAGAAAATAATTTTTGTTACTTTTGCAGCAGGTTGACCTTAAGTTGACCTCAGCTCCATGCTGCTCACCTCTTGTATCCAGTGATGCGGATGGTTGCGGGCAGCGGCTCCCTCATGGCCTCCATGAACTGGTCAAACTCTCCCTCTGGGATCAGGCCTTGTTCCTTGTAGTAGTCCTCAAACAGCTTGTTCTCCTTGATGATGTCCGCATAGCCTGCTCCCCAGCCCTGGAAAACACGGACGCCTGTTTAGGAGCTGGGCGGAAACCTCTGAATAGTGCATGAAATCCTGCAGGGTTTTTAAATGCAACTGCTTAAAAAAATGTGCATTAAACTTAATGACATGTATGAAGTTTGACGTGTCAGATTTGTCTTTCAAGCGTACTTTAAACCTTTAAACTGATTGGCAAGTCTTTAAAGACTAAATTATTGTCTCCAATGTCTCGTGTAGATATTAAAAAGAAGAAGTTTTAACTGTAGGCCTTAAATTAAAGAAGGAAACCACGTTTACAGAGTGACAAACTGTCCACACACATGGCAGCTATAAAGCAAACTTTCCACTTTTGCTGCTCAGTGCTTGCAAGTTTAGCTAACCCTCCAAACCACAAGCATCTCTACTGTTCATAGAAGCGGCGTAGTTTTACTTTAAACGCCGTTAAATCGTTCCTGATTGAGCCAAACACATTAGCGGGATTTGCTACAGCAGAAGTGCGACTCTCTTACAGCGTTGTCTCTGTCGTCTCTGCTAGCATTCTGGTTTTTCTGCCTCTGTCGGCTTCTTTTCCCCATGCTGGACCAGCAGTGAACTCTGGAGAAAAGTCTACGCAACGACGTGGAAGTCAGGGCGCACGGAAAGGAGGCTTGAAACTCGGCAAAACAAATCTTCAACCAGCAGCCTTTGGAAAGAGATGTGTTGCTCTGCTGGGTATCACCACCGGAACGTGTTGCCTGTGTGACGCACGTGAATCAGGACCAATTCGAGGTAGCCATAATATTTGCCAGAAGTAATAGGATACCCCTCCAGGGCACTGGGGCCCTTTATATGCCTAAAAAAAATGTGTTTATATTTATAAGTAAGCCGGTGTGTCCCGAGTTTTAGGTGAAGCTTAATAATAATGAAATAATAATAATAATAATAATAATAATAATAATAATAATAATAATAATAATAATAATAACAATACCTACAACTAAATAAATTAAATGCATTATAATTATCCATCCATTTTCTTACACCCTTGCCCCTAGTGGGGTCGGGAGGGTTTTTGTCAGGGGTAAATAATAGCTTTGGTCAGATTCCATTTTCCATTTTTGTGCTTTTCTTTCCACCAAAAAATATAAATCTAAGTAATAATATATTATTATTTATTATTAAATAATATTTTAAAAACTTTTTGTGATCACGTCTAGTAGTATTACACATTTTGTGATTGTTGGAGGAGAACTTGCCCCTCACAATATGGTGACCGCGTTGACGTACTGCTTCTCCTGTGAAACTAAGCTCCTGGCTCGTAGGTGGCTCTGATAGGTGGACTTTTAAGAAACACTTTTGTGTGATTGGCTAATTATCCATGCTTATCCACAACGGATGACCTGGAGTTTTCGTATTAAAAGTGCTATAAAAGTGCACAGCAACAGTAAAATCACGTTAAGCTAATTTCATAATGAAAACATAAATAGTTGGTAGGCTTTGACATCATTTAAACAAATAATGATTGAATATTCATGGCATGATATGGGCCATATTTTCTAGTTGAGTAACGTCGTTGCAAAACTGAGTTTTGTGATTGGTCAACAGCATCTGACAGCATGTGGTTCGAAAAGTGATTGGTTCGAGGCGGTCCTCTCGTACGCTCAGTCGGCATTGCGTTTTCTTTGTGACAGCAAGTAAACCAGTTCATGTCCTGTGAAACAGGAGCAGTATCATAAAATTTTAACCCGGTATCGTTCAGCTTTCCGTTGCTATGGACGTCTTCCTGTCCTGGCTGTTCTCCTCGGAGGAGCAGGAGCTGTATATTTTAGACTGCATGGCTTACTTCATGTATTTCATGGCAGCCTTCACATTCGTTAGTTTACTTTTCCAAAACGTCCCATACGGAAGGTATGCTTCGAGCAAATATGGGTTTCCTGTTAATGTGAAGTTTGCCTGGTTCATTCAGGAGCTGCCCTCCTTATTGTTGCCTCTGTGTTTGGTGTTTTGGACATCTTCCTCTAAAACGTCTCTATTACCCAATCAGCTCCTCATTGGTATGTTCCTCTGTCACTACGTTCAAAGGTAAGTAACCAACAACTTTTACGTAAACTTAATCTTTACGTTAGTTGTGTCCTTGTACTTATATTATTACCTACATGTATGGAACTTTGTGTGTTATATAAATGTGCAAGTCTGTAAAATATCTAACACGTTTTTATTATTATTATTTGTTATTTTTTTGCAGAACCCTTATTTATCCATTTTTAATTCGAGGGGGTAAAGCAACACCGTTCGCCTCATTCGCCCTGGCCTTTGCCTTCTGCGTTTACAATGGTTACATGCAGGTTCGATACCTGAGTCACTATGCAGAGTACCCTGCAGACTGGGTTACACATCCACGCTTCATCACAGGTGAGGGTTTTCCATCTGATCAGCGGATCTTTCATAGGAGCCATTAACAATAGAATTGCGCCAGTTGGAAAATAAATGAATAAAAATAGGCCAATTAAGAACAAACTTGATAAAAAAAAAAAGTTGTTGCGCTGGGACAAGGTGGTTTTTCAGTCCTACTGAAATAGATGCATGTTGTAGAACTGTAATGGAAACACTTTTTTTTGAGTCACGTGATCAACAACCGGATGTTACTCGTGGTGAAAACCACGAATTGGACGACAGGAAGTATTTTTTTTTTTTTTTTTTTTTTTTTTTTTGGACAATGTTCAGCTTGTGCCACCAAAGCTCTCACATTTTTCCAAAGTTCATAAAACGTTGAGTGTTATTCGAACATGTTGAACCCACTGCTCTTCCGTAAAATGACAATTTCCCCAAATGGCTGCCGGTGTAGCTGAGGCTGACTTCTCCTCTGGTGGCTGACAAATGGTGAGGGCTAGCACCAAGCATTAAAAAAAAGCTCATTCACACTTAATTTTAATTTAATTTAATGGAAACACCGCAATTGTGAAGTTGTGTTTTTTCCGACATTAGCAAGAATACAGACAAAGATTTGCGCACATTTGTAATGCAAACGCCGCTAGTGGCTCGCAAATGTCTTCACATTTTGTCACCTTACAACTTAAATGTGTTTTATGTGATAGACCGACACAAAGTAGGGTGCGTTATCCAAGTGGAAGGTAAATGGGTTTTTAAAATTAAGACTGTAAAAATGTACCCTGCAATCCCATTCTCCCTATCTGTACTATTTACATTCTGCAAGGCTGAATCTTCTGCACTATCTAAACACAGATGGATCCCCCTCAGGGAGCGGTCGGATAAGGGAGGCTAGAAAACATTTGCGTCATCAACAAAACTGGTCACAATGACCTCTGAAGATTGAGGATGTTCTCTGCCCAACCTGGCAACCCTAAGCGGTGGAAAATTTAGTCAAGGATAACACGAGAAAAGCAATGAAGGAAACCGTACGACCCTACTGTTGATCATCGATTGATAATATCTGCTGACAGAGCTTTGGGTTCGTCTCCAGGTTCTGCTCTTTGGCTGATTGGCTGGCTGATGAACATCCACTCTGACCACATCCTGAGGAGCCTGAGGAAACCCGGCGAGACGGGTTACAAGATCCCGCGAGGTAAAGTGTTTTCTCTCGGCAGATCCACGCAGAAGTGTTTTCCTACCGTCACACTGACTAGAAACCGCGGCTCTAAAGACCTTCTACCGTTTGCTCTTAATGCCTTTGGATAAAACGGTAAAGAATCACCAAACCTGATGTTAAAATATCTTCACAACATTTTGTAGTATTTATAGTAACACCAATAGAAGTGACAATGAAGTATTAGCAACTTCTTTTGGAAAATTATTTAGGCATGTCACTGAATTTTAAGAAAAACAATAAATGCATGTGTCTATTATATATAAGAAATGCAGGTTCTAGCTGTTTTGTGCCTCTAAATGCCTCACATTATTTTGTAGATATTCCTTATTATGTTGAAAACTGTTTTTTCTTATCATTTTCTGCAAACATAAATAGCCTGTAGAATACAGTGTATTGATTTTCTCCACTTTAAAACCTGAAAACTGATGTTAAATTGCGGACCGATGGTGGATATTTCTCAGAAATGATAGTTTTCTTGTTTTTCAAAAGCTCGTGTAAGATTTGTGGCTCCAAACAAGATTTCTTTATATGGAAAATGTTTTGTGTAAGTGTGTGTGTGTATTTTATTTTCTGTCCTGTAATGCTGTTTACATCTAATCAAAACAGAATAATATCTCATTACACGCTTTTTTCCCAGATATTCAAAATTTTGCTAAGAAACGAGGACTGCTGGTACATTGTGTTATTTGTGAAATCGGCCGTGAAAATCTCTCAGACGTGTTAAAGCTGATCAGCAAATCATGTCTTTATTACTTTGTTCTCTTGAGTGAGCTCAGTTTTATTTGCAGATTACAAACATAGCAGATTAACAAAATCAATATTATCTAGAATTGTGTATTTTCATATTCAAAAGTTGTTTAACAACATTCAACATGTAAAACATGGGGAGACTGCTGACTGATTAGAGTCGCACTTTCCTCAAAGCTACGTTTAGCTATCAAGGCAAGAGGAGGTACCTACAGCACCTGGAGAGTCTATTTGCTTTAATTGTTTTCCTTTTCGTCACATTAAAACCCTAAACTTTAATCCGGTTTATTTGTAATTTTATGCAACGGTTCCGTCTTCCAGAACAGCGACCTGGTTAAAGTTGTATATTGTCTTTTTTTTTATTCCAAGGCGGTTGTTTTTTGTTTCATCAAACACATAAACGGTTCCCTTCTCTCCTCTCCTGCTTCATCAGGCGGAATGTTTGAGTTCGTGTCCGGAGCCAACTTCTTGGGAGAGATAACCGAGTGGGCCGGCTTCGCTCTGGCGGGCCGCTCGGCTCACAGTGCAGCCTTCTCCGTCTTCACCACAGCGGTCCTCGCCAACAGGGCTGTGGCCCACCACAAGTAAGAATAACACGCACGCCGAGTTGAGCTCGCTCTCGCGGGGCGTGCATACGTTCACCCTGAAAGGATCTTTTCTTGTCTCGCCTCGCAGATGGTACCTTGCTAAGTTTGAAGACTATCCCAAAAGCAGGAAGGCACTGATTCCCTTTGTGTTCTAGAAAGCTGCAGAGCCGCCCCAGAAAGGTACTTCTGTCATAAACTTTGTTTGTTTCCTTACTTTCTTTCGCTTGGAAATGACGTCTGTTATTATTCAGTTAAATAATAGCGTGGACGGACATCACTAATTCGTTCATAAATCAGCAGGAAACCCCTACGACTTCAGCTGAAATGCCACTCAAGTTACGCTCGCAACACAAAAGACCTTATGCGACTCCTGTCCGTGGACTGGACAGGGAGATACATGGATCCTCCTTCCATCCAAACATACCGACAAAAAACAGAGCAGAAACTGGAAATCTGAAGCTGATGTTGAATAAAGACCAGTGGCGTGCACAGATGTTTTAGTGGTCAGATGCTCAAATGGGGAAATGGGGCACCTTGAACCTCTAGCTGCCTTAGTAGAGAGGCAGCCAGAGAGCATTTATCGTATCATTTGTTGTGATACATAACTTTCTTGCTAAGAATTCTCAATTAATGATGTTTTAAAAAAAAACTGTCTGTGACATCAAGATAACTAGTTGTAAATGTTTCACCCCACTTTCTTCAATGAGAGTATCAATAAATGTGAAAATCTGATTAAACCCACTTACTGTGTGCAGATACGTTACGGAACAAAAACGCAACAAACTTCCAGAAAACCGCAAAACAGCTGAAACACTGAGCTCTTCTAAATCAAGACTAAAAAAAAACCCCACCCGTTCAGAGTGGCTTTCCACCCATAATCACTGGGACGTTGACCAACACACACGATGCGTATTGATGATTTTGACGAAGGCACTCGACAAAACTTAATGTTTACCAGTTTCTCAATTGATGTCTGTATGATGTTTTTTATGGATTTGTGTTTTCATGATGGAAAGCGCTTTGGACTGCCTTGTTGCTGAAATGTGCTATGCAAATAAACTTGATTGAAAGTACACTTCTTTATGTGAGCGGTGTCCTGAAGAAGCGTCTTACAAACGGGAATGTTTCTCAAAAGCAGCATTTGTGTTTGTGGGGCTATAATTGCTGCGGCACACACTCACAGCCATATAGTTGTATAAAAAAGAAGTAGTAAATGGTTCTAATTGTTACTTTTCTAATTGTAGTACAGTCACAATACTACAAGAAAATACTGTGATATTGTCAAAGATTTAAGAAGGGCACTTTTTTTGTCCATAGGAACAAAACAGCAGGTGCTCCAGAACCTCCTAGTGTCTGATCTGTGCATGCATCTGATGGAGAAATTTCAAATCTGGTCTTCCTGCTTCATTTTGGTCTGTTTATCATTAAAGAAATCTAAAAACCAGACAGAGGAGTCTTTGCGGTAACAGCAAAGCCTGATACTTTTATCCGGCTTCAATTTGGAAATCACGCGCCTCCTCTCAATAACTCACCCAAGCCTGAAACGAGGAGATGAGAGTCCTGCCTGAGCACCGCCGTGGGGATTCTCCACCAATCAATGAAGAAGAGGAACTCACTGATAAACGTGGATGGCAAGTCAACGCCACATGGGGAACGCACAGAGCTTAAAAAGACAAAAACTCTAAGAAAATATACAAGTGGAAAAGTTAGTATTGATTTGAATGTTGTGTAGCTTCAGGTGTTGTTTTGTGGTGACTGTTACTATGAGTAAAGTTTTTTTTTTCTGAGTGAGAACTGTAATAGATTCATAATGGGATGAAATGTTATTCAAGTGCCATTAATTCTCCTCTTTTTTTTATGAAAACAAACATGTTCAAGAAGCATTTTCCTTTCACTTTTTACAATTGTACACAACTTAGTGCTGTTCTGTCACATAAAATCCCAATAAATTGATTTTTTTTAATGATCGTGTGAAAGTTTTGATATCTTTTCCAAGCACATAGTGCCGTTTTATAGCACAATCAAGTAATTATGTTAACTTCAGTTGTTATAAAAATGCTGTATGTATATCAACTATGACTTAACCTTCACCTCCGGACAATACAGTGGAAAACTGGACCCAGTCTGCTCTGTGAGGCAGAAGCTCAGAAGCTTGGAAACCACAGGAGGAGGAGGAGCTTCATCCTTGAAGGCGGAGCTAGGTACACCCGAGCATTTTCGCAGTTGAATGAATGGTTGCCACAGGAGATTAAAAGATTCCTCAAACATTCATGAAAGAATCAAGGCAACACTCCAAGTATGTTTTAGATTTACCATTATAATGTTACAAAGTCTATTTTACATAACACTGCCCCTTTAAGGCTTTGCAGTTCAGCTTAGTGCTACACCGAGATGTTACCGTCAACATATTTTACAGACCTACGTGTTTTGCTGTAATTTTTCCACCCGTCATCAATAAAAACTTAAGTACTGTATCTAAGCGTGATGAATTGTGGCGGCTCTGTCACAGATTGACGTCTTTCATTTTCCAAATCCCTGTTGGCGTCTCGCTCCTTCTGCTTCTTCTCCGGGCCGTTTCCTCCATGCATCCTCTTTAGCCAGGCTCCTTGTAATTGCATCACTATATTACACTCGACAGTTTTAAATGAGACTTCCTCTTAATTTTAGCATCATTCATTTTGGGGGCAGATGGAAGTGGGATCTCCTCGTTCTTCTTTTGTGTCTTGATGAAAGGTTTCAGTCTGGGCTGTAAATACTTTATAAGAGGAAGATTTCCTCGGCCTTCTCAAGCGGTGTGGTAGGGTTAGGCTGTATAATTTTCACTAAATGCTTGAACAAGACCTAAAATAAAACGTTAATGCCAAACGTATCTATAGAAATATTTTAGAGTGAAATGATGTCTATCTAATTAATCAATCAGTCAAATAGTGATTAAGCCGCTTCTGTCTGTGATTTATGTTGTTTAGTCATACTAAAATAGTTTTCTTTTATGGCCAGTTAAGTTCAGAAATCAGACTCCGTCTTTTCAACCATTATTCACTCGGAGCAAATTATAAAGCTACAAAAAAGCATCAGAATGATGGAAAGAAACAGATACAGTAAATGGATAATACTTCAATTAAATTGCACTGACGTAATGTGACGTTGGTTATTTAAGTTGAGACATTTTTTTATAATTTTTTTTATGATGAATCTTTATGTTCACTAAGAGATATTTTCCTGAAAGGCTGGAATTAGATGTATTTACCACAAACACAGCTACTTCCTACAACTTATTTTTAATAACTTACCACAAACAACTAAGTTAGCTGCAAAGTACTACGTTATTTTTTACATCTGGAACATCTGGGATTCAAACGTCCCACAAATTTACAGTAAATTTAATTAAATTTGCACAGATGACAGAATAAATAAAAATCCTTTGATAATTTTATAAATTTATTTCTTAATCATTGAAATAAATCCTGTGGTTCTGTCATAAGTACCTATTACTAAAAGTTAAAAAAAAGTACCTAATGTCTGATATATTTTTTAATTTTTATGACTAATTGTTTGAGTCATGACTTTTCATTTTTACATAATAGCGACCTACAATTGATAGTCTTATATTCCACTTTGTGACATTAAATTGTCCAGTCGGGGCAGATTTTAACTTTCATAAAGCTTTCAGTGCAGCATTTCATTAAAATACTAATCAATAGTCTAGTTTGGTTTGAAACCTGCATTTAAAAGATAAAAATTGACATTCTCAATGTTAATGTCAATAACAAAATCCTTTCTTTTTATGACAAAAATAAAGCTCTTTAGATGAAAAGTCTTCATTATGTCTACAGATACCTGTTAATATTAACATTGGTGTAAAATATGCTTCCTGTCTAGGTTGAAGTAAGCATTTGCATATGTAAAAAAAAAGGGAACAAAATGTTCTTCTACTAATACGTGAGCAATTATTCGTGCCTGTAGAGGGCACTATTGAGCAGACTTAAATTTCTCAGCTTCTTTGTCTTGTGTTGTTTTTATCTTCAATCTATCCATTTTATGATGGATAAAAAGCAGTCTAGAATAAAAAAAATGATATGTATAAACATCTGGAAAATTTCTTCTCTTTGTGTTTGTAAAGGATCTCTTACTATGCTCCCTTCTATAAAAGATGAGTGTAAGATAGAGCAGCCATTTGAAAGCAATAACCTTCTCAGGCTACTCTGTCACTTTGAAGCTTGTGTTTTGACTTGATTTCCGCTGGCTTACAGTGTGAGTGAGGAGTTGTGTACATCACTGAGTATGCTACAGCTACATTATATCTTAGCTGACACATGGCTTCCCTTAGGGGGGTTTCCTTGACGGGGTCACATGCTGCACATGAGTAACACAGACTGAGGCTGGAAATTATGCGAATGGACCCTCTCCTCTCTCTCACTCCTTTTTTGCACGCGTACACAATGTTTTTGCTTCGCCTTACCCAGCAACTCTGTGGCACTTTAGAGCTTTAAAGGTTTGGAGAGAGCAGCACCTAGGATGATCCACATCATCTTTTAAAACAAAAAACAAAACAAACAAAAAAAAGGATGTAACAATAAACAGAGAGGAAGAAATTCCTGTTACACTAACACAGCAAAAACACACAGTGCCTCACAAAAGAATTCATGGTGAAGCAATTTACTCTCATTAGAATGAAAGATTATGAAACAACAGCAAACCTGCCAAGACATTTAAATAGCTTAGACTTTTTTTTTTTTTTGAAGAAGAAGAATTTAGAAATTGAACCACTTGACTTACATGCAAATACTAATAAGTGTGACACACTACTTCCTGGTAAGTTCGAAATGTAGTTGAAACTCAAAAATTGTGGGTACAAATCGTAAGAATTTGTAGCCTCAAACAATGGCTGCTTGGGCGTCGCCATATTGGAATCCCAACAACTCAAAGAATGTTAATGGGGTGTTCCATTTGTAGTCAAAGGCAACAAATCCCAGCTCTCCAGTTGGAAAGAAATCATTCAGAATGCTCCTCAAAGTCGGACTTCCCACTTGGCCAGAGAGTCAATTTTGAGATCCAACATGGCCGCTCCTAGCATCAACAATAGCAAGCTGTGGTGGAAACATGTTTATTTTATAAGACACACTTGTACTGCGTCTATAATCAATGTTACCTGTAGCTCCGGCAACTGTAAAAGAACCAATTAAAACTGGTGTTTGCATGAGGAAGTATGTCTTAAGATGAAGTTTCTAAGATGTTCTACAAACAATGGTGACTTGGGTGTCGCCATATTGGAATATCAACTACTCTCACTCCTCCCAGTATGCTAACAGTGTGCTCTGTTTGTAGTGAGGACTTGGAAATCAGCTGGAATGCTCCCGAAATCGGAATTCCCATTCAAAAAGTCAAAGAAATCTCAATCGACAATTTTGAGATCAAATATGGCCGCTTCCAGGTTCAGCAGTAGTAAGCTGTGCTGGAAACATGTTTATTTTACAAGACTACAAGCATATTTAGAATGAATGTTACCTGTAGCTCCAGCAACAATAAGCTAAACAAATTAAAAGTGTTTGCTAATGGAAAATACAGCTTAAAGCAATCTTTGTAAGAGGTGGTACAAACAGTGACTACTTGGGCGTCGCCATATTGGAATCCCGACTTCTCCCTGTATGCTAGCTGGAATGATGGTTAACTCGGGTGTGACGTCATTCCCAGCTTCAACTTCCGAGATAAATGGAACCAGCGTCACACTTCTCATGCCTTGATTTAACACACCATTACCATGTTTACTCCACAATAAAACATGGTAATGGTGGCATTATGCTGTTGTTTTTCAGTGGGAACCATAAAGAAGGTCAAAGTTGATGAACATGGAAGGAGCAAAATGCAAATTTGTATTTATACAGATTTTTAAATGTATATGTAATTTCCTTGTTAAATAAAATAAGAAGGAGATACATAAAGGTTGGAAGTCTGAATATTTTAAAGAGGTCTGAATACTTTTGGAAGGTACGTTCTGGGGAGATTTTCTTCTGTTTTCCTGCAGCAGCCTGGAGGCTTTTTTATCCCACATATCAATTTAGCAGCTGCTAAATAGCAATTTGTATGATCAGAATTCCGTCTCTACAACTTAAACGTGTGATTACATGTTCTAGGACAGCAATTTGTGGTTAGGGTGCCAATATTTGTCAGTCCTGATGAAAGATTTAAACCCTGTTATGGCATACAGAGGGGGATCCCTGTAGCTTCCCTTCCATGCGCCCCCTACTGGTGATAGCCGGAAAATTTAAATCCCGGTTTCATCGAACTCGTTGAACTTCCAGAAAACTGCTAAAAAAAATCAACTGCTCGCTCGCTGTAAACCCTACATTTATCAAATAAAATGTCGTATGTTTCTGTTGTCATATTCTTCATTCGTTCGACTGTGAGGAGTTTAAAAAAAAAAAAAAAAGAGGAGGAGTGGGTGGATGGGGGCACAGTCATTTAAAAAAGGGAAAAAAACTGAGCAGAGCGCATGCGCTTGATTTGAAGAGAATACGCCATATTGAATTCCCGTAGGAATCACGGCATTCTTGCAGCTACGAGGGCCAGTTTATTAATGGTCCGAAATTGATTTCATGTTTTTATTCCGCCTTGTTCTGTGACACCGAATAGATCAGCGAGTCTCGTCGGAACCGGTACAGCGGCGCAGATTCAAAACGGGCTCGCTAACGACAGGTTACTTGTCGGGGGAGTGGGGGGTGGGGGGTTTACCAGGCAGAGGAGTTGAATGGATCCGAGGGTAGCTTGGATTCAGCCGGAGCAGAAAGGACCTGCGAACGCCTTATGGATGCAAATCTGGGAGACCTCTCAGGGAGTACGGACGCTCTCCGCTCACACTCGGAACCACAGCCGGTGTGTGAGTTATGCGGCTTTGATGGCTTTGAATAATGTGGCGGCCGCGGCGGCATCGTGCAAGAGCGCCTGCAGCCCGAGCAACGGGAACGTTACAGGCAGCCTGAGTAACGGCAGCAGCCATCACAGCATCATGAACTGCCCCGCACGCAGCGGCGGCGGCGCGGCCACCTCCACACAAGGGACACCGGCGACCAACGGGACCGCACAAAGCTCCCTCCCGATGGCGAACGAGCCGAGCGGGGCCAAAATCCCGATCCCGAAGACGGGCTCCGTCTCCTCGTTGTCCTCGCAGGAGTCGGGGACAGAGAGTCCCGTTTCCAGCAGCTCGTTTCCCGAGAGGACTTTGGGTGGAAACGTGAGGGGCGACTTCAACAAGATCGTCGGCGGCGCCGGTCTGCTCCTCGGGTTGAACGACGTCGCGGAAAACAACGCGAACCTGTACCATCAGCAACATCAGCGCAGCCCGGAGGAGCATCCGGCTTTTAATTTGCAGCAGATCTGCGCGAAGCAGCATCAGGTCCACCACTCTGCCGTGCCCGTTAATCACACACACAATCTCCACCCGGGACGGAGGAAAAGTGACAACAAGGAGAGTACCTATGGGATGAATTACCTGCTTTCGAACTGCACTAATGGGAATCATGTGAACAATTGGACGCCGTGGAAAAAGAAGAAATACAGCTCAGGAGTGCTTGGGTGAGTTGCTTTAAGGATTCAAAATAGAGTAACGTCTGTCTTTCTGTCGTTGCTTTCAAGTGTCCGACATTCAGGATTTTTTTTTAAACTTAGGTTTTAGTGAATAGTTGTATTCAAAATATGAAAGCTCAAAAAACAGTGGAGTACTTTTAGGGATGTCCGTTTAATCCTTTCTTTTATTTATTTATTTTTTTATGCTTTCTTCCCGTTGGCTGGCTGGCTAGTCTACTGCCGTTGAATTGTCCACTTGGTCCCTACGTAGTGTCCTACGTAGCTCACTTTGTAGTTTTGTTGTTGTTTTCTAAGAATTTATTGCTGCTAAAGTTGAGCAGGAAAGTTTGTGATATTATCAGTAAATGTCAATTACAGCATTTTTAAGACTTGTGTTGTCGCATATAAACCATAGATACCGCCCTAAGTGTGTCCCAAATTTCGAAATGCAGAGCAAGGCGCGATAGAGTGAGTGATCTAGGAAACAATTGGTACGCAGCCATGGACAGGAACCGGAAGTGTCCTGATTTGTTTACTGGGATGTTTGAAAGGATTAAGTGTTGTATTTAAATGTACAATTATGAATATATATTTTTAGATTCTCTATGGATACTTCAGTAAGACATGGAAAAAATTCTCAAACATGCCAGAAGTAATAACTTATATTGGTTGATTTTTAAGTTTCGTGATAAGTTTTAAAGTCTGTGCATAACTATAATTTTATTTTAAGGAATTCAAAAAATAAATGACAAGATAGCCATCACTGTAGAGTATTTTTTAATTATTATTTTTTTTCCTTCCCATTGGCAAGTTAGCTTGCTCTCTGCTGTTATATAGCTACAATTGTTCTCCTGTCCTACCCAGTGGGTTATAGTTTTCACTACAAACTATAACCAGACATTTTTAACTGATGCATGCAAGGAGGAATATCTTTTATTAGGGTTGCATAGCAAATAAAAATGTATAGCAAGTAAAGGATGCAGTCAAATTATAAGTAATAGTAATATTTTGATATAAAAGGCTGTCAGTCAAAAACTGCAACTGATTAGCTTGTTTTCTGCTGTTATATTGCTAAAAGGAAGCAGAAGCAGTATTCCAATTGTTTGCTGACTTGCTATGCAGTACACTATATATATAATGTATAACTGTTTTTCCTCGTAGGGTTGAAGAAAACTTGTTTAGAAAGATTTAAACCTGTTCTACTGAGGCTAAATGAAAGCAGACTGCATATTATATTTTAGACAGACAGACTGATAGAAACTTTATTCTGTCTATTTTGAGCACAGTTGTGGAAATGTGTTGTTGCTGCTTATTATTTTTATGACGTTCAAGTGAAAATGAAAAGATGTACATAATTTAAATGAGGAAAAATTGGCTTTCTGTTTGACGTACATTTATGGTTTGATAGTCGGAGGTGCTGCACATCTTGAAGCATGAATTTTTCTAAAAAGTTTAAAAGTTGCTAATAAAAATTGCCTTACAAATAACACATCATGTAGGGCTGGGATTAAACAAAAACTACTGATATCTTTGTTACAGATGAAATTAATTACAGCCTCCGACATAGAGGATCTCTGTTTTTCTTTCTTTTTTTTTTAATGAGTAGCTGCTCTGAGAAGGGTTTGGTAGTACGAGGACAGAAAACAAGGCGGAGGTTTTATCCCTGGAAGCTGTCGAGTTTTTTGCTGTCCCTGCTGCCATACCAGCGTGAGAAACCTGCGTGACCAAATGCTGCTCCTTTCTGCAGTCTCATCCTGTATGCTGTGACACGCTCGCCCGGCAGAAAGCTGGATGTCGTTAAAGAGAGCGGTGCTCCCAACTGTAAGCAGCTTGAGCGAGACGTACAGTAATGCAGCAACATTTGGGCCTAAAATATGCAGAGACCTGTTTCACGTACTCCCTTTTAGTTATAGGTATAATCTAACACTGAGTGCTATGACGCTGTGACATTATTGTATGAGGGAAAACAATTCCAGCAGCGTATGGTTTCTACGATTTCTGGGCGAATGATGATCCTGGGTTTTGTTCTTCCTCAGACTCCACGAAGAGGTGATGGACTTTTACAACTTCATGTCCCCGCGACCTGAAGAGGCAGCTATGAGGAAGGAGGTGGTGAAGCGAATAGAGATGATCATCAAGGAGCTGTGGCCTACTGCGGATGTAAGATCCATGAGTTCACCAGCGCCTCCTCTGAAGCTCGGATCTGTCCGAGTCGGGTCCGTTTTGAAAAGTGTCGTTAACTCTCTCAATTCTTTGTTTTCTGCAACATGGAATTGTAAGGGTTGTGTTTCTATATTTTCCTTCAGCGATTTGGAAAGGAACCAGAGTTTAAAATGGGCTTATAGGGCAGTAGCCCAGGGCCGCAATGTTTAGGGGGTAGCCCATTAATTTTTTTTTTTATAATGATTGCATTATTTGGATTGTTTTTTTTATATATATATAAAACTCATAGGGTGATAACGTATACATTTTATTAATACTTTCAAGTTTCAAATTTAATTTGAATTTTAAAACATCAACAAAAACTCAAAAATAATTATGGATTTTCAATTTTAAACTATTTTTCTGTTCTGTTTTTTTTTTTTTAAATATGTAAACAAAATATTGTTTTGAAATTGTACATTGTGTAAAGAAGCATTTTAATTGAGTTGTGTAAGGAATGCAGGACTGGCACAATTAATCAAATGAATCCTGATTAATCGATTGAAATAATCGTCAACTAACCTTAGAATGATGATGTGTGATCCTTATGGAACTTTGACCTTTACCCTTAGCTCTGAAATGTCCTGAAGCCTGCCAATATTTTCTTATCCAGCATGTTCCCCAGCTGGTTGGAAGCTCAGGAAGATCAAACGGAGAAAGTTTGCTCAGTCCTCCTGGTATCTGCTAAAAGTCCTTCTCGCTCACAGACCCGTCTCAACATGTCTAAAAATAATACCGTTTCCTTTGAAATAGCTTTTTACATCTGTGTGATTCTTCTGACTAGCATGATCCACACCATCTGCGCTGACTTTGACTCTTTTTACTGAGTTGAAATCTTTTCCACTGAAGAGAACCCGTTGATGCTTAGCTTGCTGCGTTCACTGATCAGAAAAATATCTGATTTTATTTGAGTTTCTAACCAGTCAACGACCTGGACAGGTAACCAGACAGGATCTCGGTACGTCTCTGCAGCATATGCTACCGATCAGATCAAATTATCGACAATATGTCAATAAACAACCACTTTGTCAGCTTTGAATTTACCGACAAAGGGTTTGAATGTAAAGTCCTTTCTGTCTGTTTTTATTAAACCCAAATGACCAGAACTGGACAAGAATCTGGAGCTGAGTAGACCTAAAACCCAATAACCACAGAATTGTCATATGAAATCAATACATCTAAAAACGCCTCAACAATTCCTGTTCATAAAGTCATTTTCTGAGAGAATAGTTCTTAATTTAAATATGTAAGAGTCCCTAGTGGTGACTGGTGGTATTACACAACAAATCATGTCTTATCTGCCTCAAATGCAACTAAACAGTGTCGAATCAAATTTGTTCTTGCTCCAGTTGTCAAAAATCTGTTCTTTTACTTCAGATTTAAGTGTTTATATTAATAAATAAATTCTTAAATGGTTTAAGGAAATAACCTAATTTCGTAAAATAATTGTGTTACAATTACATTTTGATGACCTTCTTCAGAATATGTTCATATGTATCTGAACATTTTATTCAGAATGTCTGCGTATCCTTAACAAAACTCTTAAATTCATGCATTTAAAAAGTTATCTTAAAAAAGTAATGTTTTAAATTCATTAAAATAATGCATGTCAGCCTTAAAATCGTTAATCACAGGTCTTTTGTTTTGACAGGACTTTTTTTAATCCCATATTTACATCTATGTAGTTTTTTTGTTATTTGTTTCTTGTTGGACTTTTCTGTCAGGCAGCAGTTTGAGACTACTCAGACATCTTAATTACGTCTTGAGGCTTCCGGTAACAAGCAGCTAATGTATGCCTACTAGTTACTGGCAGCTAGCTAGCAACTTGCTAGCTCTTTGCGTCTATCATGGGTGATGACTCGACAAATGACAGCGACGCACAAAAGTCACCACCACACAGGAGGCGATAACGGCAAAAGTCTTCAACATTTAACATTTTTTTGTCTCGTCGCAAGCTCACATGCATAGAGGGAAAAATTTCACATGCCTGAATATTATTGGTCGCTTTTCTGGCGAAGGGCAAACTATTTCCTCATCGGTCCATAGGGATTGAATCAGCCATCTCTGATGTTCATTTTTGTTCAGTATGGCGTTTGAAAACGTCTTAAAAAGTCGTATATTTGACTTGCTGAATCCTGCAGGTACCCTGTTATACTGTTATAATACAACCTTATAACATTTCCTCTTTAAAGTGCTAATTACTTATATGTAGAAGCAGAGGGGTCACGCAGTGCAGGAAGACTGATGTCATTTCCCCGCTTGTTACTTAACGGCATAAAGTACGAGCGGCGGTGATTCATTGGCTGCCAGCATTTCCCACTTCCACTGTGAGCCACATTGTTAGATAAATGGACTCAAGTCCCCGCATTTGTTCCAGCTTCCCTTTTTTTTTACATCCCAGCCTGTTATTTCAGGCCCGTCCCCGTGCCGCTGCCTTGTCGCGTTTAACAGAAGGAAAGGGAAAGAACTTCATTCTGCTTCCTTTCAAGAGCTTTCACTTCAACTCCCCTCCATAAAGCCCCAGCCTTTTGTTTCCAAACCTTTTGTGTGCTTCATTTGGCTGCTGTATACTCACCTTGGCAAGGCTTTACGTCTCCTGAGTGGAACCCAGAAATGCCTTTGTCAATGGCACTTTGCAGACATTCAACTGACATCATGCCTTAAAAATATGTCACCTAAAAAGATGTGGTTATCTTCAGCAGTACTTCAGTAACGTCTCTTGAATCATTTTCACCAGGTTCAGATATTTGGCAGCTTCAGCACGGGGCTCTACCTTCCAACAAGGTAAAGTCCTGCAGAGACAGACTGTCACTTTAAATCCTGCTGTATTGCTTTAATTTAATGCTTGCCGTTATTTATTTATTTCTCCTTTAACCCACAGCGACATTGACCTGGTGGTGTTAGGGAAGTGGGAGCGCCCTCCGCTTCAAGAGCTAGAGCAAGCTCTACGGAAACACAATGTGGCCGAACCTTTCTCCATTAAAGTGCTGGACAAGGCTACAGTAAGTAAAGTGTGGCTTAGATCTTTTAAGTTTTACTCCAGCTCGGTTACATTATTACATTTCCTCTTAAAGATCTTCATGAACATCTAATTGCTGCTATAGCGATAAAGTATGTCGTTAAACGAACAAAAATGACTATTGGAGACTAAAGACTCTCCCCGTCTGTGATTGGTTGTCCATTTTTTTTTCAGTTTAGAAGAACTCGTTCCTATTTTTTCCTACGTTTCTGATAATGATAGAGCAATAATTGGACTCATTTCCAGGGAATGCTCATAGGGATCAGGACTTCCAGGGGTCAGAACCTGTGAACCTTGTCAAAGACTTTTCACATATTCTCTAACGGCTACGATTTCTGCCTCAGGCTGTTAAATGACTGTTAAATCTGTATTACTGCACATACTTTACCATTCACTCCCTCACAGATTTGTTCTGGGGTACTTTTCTGTCACCCCGATATTTCTGATCAACGAGCAAGTTATAATGTCAGACAAAGACTGAATAAAAATAAAAAGCAATTTTAATTATGGTAACTATTTATTCTTGAGGGAGCGAGGGGGGCGGAAAGCTGTCCTGATTGAATAAATAACCAGTGGTGGCCTCTGCTAGCTAAAAAGTTAGCTGGACTAACCCTAAAGCGCTCTGCTGACATTTTAGCGCTATGCTAAAGCGCTAACTTAAATTCAAATTATTTCTGCGCTTAGGACTGCAACCCTTGGGCACAATTTTAATTTTGACATCATTTGCATATTCTAGAATGGTCTTGGATATGGTATTTATGTTTATATTTTGTTCATATTTTATTTGTTTGAAATAAAGTCATTAGTGGGGAGAGAACGTAAGGAGGGGAAACAGAACTGCTACATAAACATTCTTCACCTGCTTCAAAATAAGACCATGAATATAAAAATCTAATGACTGATTAGATTTTTATATTCAGTCATGAATAATTAATTAACTCAATTAGCGCATTAGCAAAAATCTGATAACTAAAACTTTATTTAACTTTTACTAAACAGTAACAGTTTAGTAAATTTGTCCATAAAAAGTAACTTAAGGGAAGCTAAGTGTGCGAAACGTTTTGAAAGCTAGCTAACGCGCTAAATGAAAAATTAACTCGATTAGCGCATTAGCAAACTAGCGCAGGTGAGCTGTAACATCCTGCTTTGTCAATTCTTGACTGAAATAATAACAAACAACATTGTCTTATGCTAATTCTACTTGCGGCTACTTATTCTGGCTAAACAAGTTAAGGAAACTCTCGGAACAGTTTAGGAAAAAGGCACTGACCTCTTTCGGTCTTCAGTTACAATGTTTTGACTCGGCCAACATGTAGGAACCCTGAGGTCAGAGACTGTTCCCCTCTGCCATTATTTCCCTCCATTGTGTTAAAGCCAGAGCCATCTTTCCACGGCTAATCGTAATTTGTTCAACAGCTTGGGTGGGAGGGCTCACACTAACAATATAGCAGCATTTCTGCAAGCGGGCACATATTAATATCCTGTGGTATTTGCACAGAACCCCGGCAAACTGCCAGAATGCTGCATTTCCCTCTTAATTGCCACAGTAAAACAGTTCATGGTTTAGTTTTTCTCCGCCTCGGTGTGGGACACAAAATGTCGTTTAACACCTTCTGGTTTTTTTCTTAAATCTCTCTTGCAGGTGCCGATCATCAAGCTGACTGACCAAGAGACCGAGGTCAAGGTGGACATCAGTTTTAACATGAAAAGCGGGGTGAAGGCGGCAAGCTTCATTAAAGACTACTTAAAGGTTGTCGACGACTCGGATTCGCACATAAATGCGAGACGCAAGTTCACTGCGAGTGTCTCCGGCTAAATCAGATCAATGGCCAACCCAGAATACACACAGCTGGAGGGACAGAGCTGGAAAAGGTCATGTAGATGTATTAAAATAGACATAAAAAACCACGCAAGTCACATAATTATAGTTCTTATTTCAGCGTTTAAGTAGAACTTTGGAAATTCCTTCTTTGACTCACTGAGCAGTCCGAGTCGTTCACTCCAGTCGAGCTGGCTCATCTCTGTTTAAACGACAAGAAGATTTAAAAAAAAAAAAAACGCTAATTAGGATTGGGTTGTCGAAATCTCTTCATCTGCCTGGAGTTTTCTTACCTCTTGGCTCTGAAGGAATTCCTGCTGAAGGTGGATCTGTAGCCGTGTCAGTCACAGCTATTGGCTAATGAGGGGAAAGGAATGTCTGCAGCTTATGTTCCAGCAAGCTGTCGGATCCGTTCTTTCGCCCGCCGCTGGTTTGCACCTTGTTTACTCTCTCGTCGTGCGGGAATGCGTGTCGCAGCCTGAGAGGCCTGGGCCTTCAGCATCACTCAGCGTCAAGCTCGGCGAGCGCCGAGTGACGATGATGGCTCATCTTCTCATGCGAGGTGTTCAGGGAAGGAGGTGCAGCACCAGGTGTCTCCGCATGCTAACAAAGCAAAGCGAGCTCTTGTCCCATCATGAGGTCATACTTGTGATTCCCCTTCCTCAGCCTATCTGTTTCAGAGGCATCTGTTTTTTTTTGGGGGGGGGGGTTTTTTGTGGATAGCCGTTATTAAACGTCAAGTATTTGTGTAATGGAAGCTGGAGCAAAGGCTTCTTAGCTTCAGTACCTTAGAGAAAGCTTTAATTATATCTTTCATATGAGTCGTTTAGCTTCCAAAGGAAAATAGGAAAAGTTGCTTTTCTGATTAACATGAAACTGATGCTACACAAATCCTCTATCTGCATTGGGCTACATTTATGCATATTATTAGTCAACAATGTTTACTGTTGTCACCTTCCTAAAATAAGTCCAAGTAAGATTAAGTTATTTCTTGCCAAAAAAAAGGTAACTTTTGGATCAACTCTGGTCTCTCCAGCTTTTTGTCTCGTTAAAAGTATTGAAAAGACATAAACTTCTTTTTAAAACCTTTGCTACTTGAGATCCATTTTAAAATTCAACAAGCTAAAAGATCACACTTGATTTTTTCCCCTAAGATTAGGCACAGATGGCAAACCGGTAGCAAAGATTGCTATCTGTGCCTAATCTTAGGGGAAAAAATCAAGTGTGATCTTTTAGCTTGTTGAATTTTAAAATGGATCTCAAATTTGTAGGCACAACCTGAGAAGTTGGGACTTGAAAAGTCCTATTGATGCAGTTGTAGATATATTTAATTTTCAAATTATTCTAGCTATGTGAAGCTTTTCTAACTGGAGTAGATGTGAAGATTTCACCTTTCATCAATATCTTTAATTTATGCTGCTAAAATAGGAAAACCTAAATTCTTGGTTCAAATTAGGGTGCACCAATCGCAGTTTTTTGGCTGATTACCGATCTTTAAAAAGCCTGACCTGCTGATTCTGATATTGACTGATGCTGATTGTTTCTTTTATCTCAAAACCTGCTACATATATCAACAAAGTTGGTTGCAGAACTTCTAAAATTAAAAAAATTGGGGCCAATTTATCAGTGCACTCCTAGTTTGAATCTGTCGGGTAGAAATGAACTGCATAATATTTTATCCTCTCACTTAAAACACAACGGCAACATTTCCTACTTCTGTAATAAAATAACAATTTAATTATTTCTGTTCCAATAGTATGTGATTTTAGCCTGTACAAGCAGAGTGTGACTCTGTGCTTTTAATTCCCGACTTGTTCTTCCTTCCTCTCAGTTAACCGACAGGTTTCTCATTGTTTGTGTTTTGTCGTCTCTTACAGAAGTATCCTGTGCTGCCTTACTTGATCTTTGTGCTGAAGCAGTTTCTGCTGCAGAGGGATCTGAACGAAGTCTTCACTGGGGGCATTAGCTCTTACAGCCTCATCCTTATGGTCATCAGTTTCCTACAGGTACTGTTGTATAAGCTTTCAGGGCAGCCCCCGTTAGTGGTACCCCTATGTTAAAAGCCTTTAAATAAATTCCTATTTTATAAAGTGTCATATGTTGAAAAATGTAGGGAGAAAAATAGTTTCTTTCCATCATAGTGTAGTATTTCAGAGACCCTTAATGTCTATGAAATCCAGTGTTTGTCATTATGTCCCATGTGGTCAGTCTGTGTTGCTCTGTGCCTTCCTCCTCTCCAAAGGAAACCTTATTAGAAATTAGGGACGCATGATATATTGAGATCACCATAGTGAGTCTTTTTTTTTTTTTTTTTTACATATCAGTTTCAGTCCAACATGTAAAACTGGACTGGTATTAACAACCGAAGTTCAAAATTATTTTCCCTCTGAACAAATCTTAAATTTATGGTTATGTAAAGGCTTTTTACCCTTCTTCTTCTTTTGGAGTTTCTACTCTCTATGATTAGTAGAAGTTATGTAGAAATGTTAAGACGTGACGTATAAAAATATTTTCTGCCTCAGCTCCATCCACGCATCGACGCCAGAGACCCCAACCAGAACCTAGGCGTGTTGCTGATCGAGTTCTTCGAGTTGTACGGCCGCCATTTCAACTACTTGAAAACAGGGATCCGCATCTCAAACGGAGGTGCGTACGTTACCAAAGAGGAAGTGATGAAGACCATGACAAACGGATACACCCCATCCATGCTCTGCATAGAGGACCCACTGCTTCCAGGTGAGCAACTCGATCCAACTCAGACTCTTTAAGGCTTGTGCATTTCTTTTGCAGTGTCGGTCTTAAATTCCATTCATAATGGTGTTAAAGTCTTAAATTGGAGTTGGTGAAACCTGCAGAAACTCAGTCTCTCAGCTGCTAATTTTCAGACCTTTGCGGAAGTAGATGAGATCAGAATGAAGAAAATCTGAGCGTTTTATCAGTCGTAGTGCTGTGATTGATTTTATAATTATGTTGTGCACTGCAAACCTATTTGAGAGGTCCAATTCATAGTAACACTGAATCCTTGGACAGTAAAATTCGGATAACAAAATCAGAGGGGAAAACGTATCTTGCCCAAATGTTTTCTTTACTTTAACGGCACATCAATAAATAATATCCCAATTCCTCTCAAGCAAAACTATGAAACGATGTAACATTCAGTTTTGTTTTCTTCCCACGTAGGTAACGACGTGGGGAGGGGTTCTTATGGCGCCATGCACGTCAAGCAGGTGTTTGACTACGCCTACACGGTCCTCAGTCACGCCGTGACGCCGCTCGCCAAGTCCTACCCCAACAAAGACTGCGAGAGGTGAGGATTCAGCCGAGAAGTGTTTGTTATTCCACGGATCAGAGCGAGACGCTCATTTCAAAATGTCCGTCTTACTCCACAGCACACTGGGGAGGATAATAAGATTAACCCAAGAAGTCATTGAATACAGAGAGTGGATTATTAAGAAGTGGGGAGGCAAGGACTCACCACAGACAGACAACAGAGGTAGCATCAGGCTTCCGGAGAGCATCTTGAAGATGATGTCACAGACTTCTTCTGTTTGTGCGAATCATCGCTTATGTTTTCTTGTAGCGTCTTCTCCCAAGGAGCCCGTTTCAGAGCAGGAGTCCTGTGTGCTGGGTGGTGGTGTTGTAGGTCCTGAGGATCAGCAGAGGGACTCTGCTTCACCTCACAGCGCAGACTCTCCCATGTCCATCTCCAGCCCCAAGCAGCACTCATCGGCCTCATCCGTTTCCTCGCTGTCTGGCTCCGACAACGTAAGACACACCTTTCATGATGCTGCTTTTTTTTTTTTTTTTTTAAATGAATGCTGCAAAGCCTCATTCAGTTCAGTGTTGATTAATGGATTATTTGATTAAAGTTGGTTCCATTCGATTAGCTTGTAACGTCTGCCAGTGTTGTAGTTTGGCCTCCATCCAGAAGAGGGCACCGCTGTTCATCCTTAAGCAAATAAAGCAACAGAAATCAAAATGGCAGAGGAATTAAGACCGGATTAAAGAAACTGTCTGAACAGAGTTCGGTGTGGGAGGCAAAATGAACTTTATGCGGTTCTGTTTGGAAATATAAACACTCGAACAAGTTCCTCAAGTTTCACCTTAATGGTGCTTCATACAGCCGAGCGCCGACCTCTCATTTAGGAATTAATGTTGCGCTTTGAAGGTGAGGACAAGATGTCAGAAAAGCAGAGAGCGTAACAGAGAAAAAAATGTAACAAGATTCATGAAATAAACATGAAGCCAATAAGCAAGGTTGATTTTTGAAGGCTGTCGTTGGTTAATGCTCTACATGGAGTGAAGTTTTACCATTCCTTCAAGAGCAACAACTGTAAACTGGTTCATTATCAAACAAAGCTCCTTCCAGAAAAAAAATTCTAGAAATATTTTTCAGCACAGATGGGAGAATAAAATTTAAAACAAATCTGTGTGCGTACAACTTTTATACAGTTTTCAGTTTCTATATGTGGAGTGAATTCTTTCTGTTCATGGATATTAAGTAGGTCAAACATTTTATTTTTTTCATCTTTTATTTTTCTATTCTGCAACCTAAGAGGTTCCTGTTTTCTTATGTTTTGTAAATATGTTTAAGTTTAATAGTGTGAGAAAACCACATTTTTCTGTTTATTCAGTTGGCATTTAATACAACAGAAACAAAATGATGTAAGAAAATTCTAATTTAAAAAAATAATTCAGCATAATATGAAAAATTTTGCCCTTTATGGAAAGACGGTTGGTTGTCTTGATAGGAGAGAAAACTCAGGTTTCTGGGAAAATGGCCTCTTATCTTTCAATTGATAACAATCAATCAACTTTAGACAAACTCGACAATAGAACATTTACATTCCGAAAAAGATTTATTCTCCCTGACAGCTTTTTTTTTTTAATGTTTGTTTGTTTGTTTTTTTGCCAGGACTCTGACTCAGCGTTGCCATACACCCTCCCTCCTCCGACCCTGTCGGCGTACGCGTCGTTCCCGGCGCTTGGCCTCGCCCTGCAGCCAAGCATCCACCTGGGCACCGGAAAGCACGGCATGGGAGGACGCCATCTGCTGCTTCCTCCGGGTTCACAGGTAGGCCGCAAGCCTTCTTTCCTTCAGCTAAATATGGCACACTTGAATCTCAAAAACACTATTACTACTGGTTGGAAAAAATCAAGACGAAAAATCTTTCAAATTATAAACGTATATATTTTTTAAATAGCTTATTTAAATATATTTTCTATAGAAAACCCAGTGTCGTCCTGTTTGCTCTCCAGGCTCACGTCTCGCTGCCCAGCGGTCTAGCAATGCACTCCATGCCTGACAGACAGGTGTGTATGGACACCGGGCTCCCCTCCTTCTACCACATGCCCCCCCCAGTCCATGCTCATACCCCCGCCCCCTCCAGCCCCCAGCCTCCGCTCAGCCCCCACTCCAGCCACACACACAAGGTAGGCGCCGGATGCTGCAAACGCTCTCATGCACCACATCAAGGGAAACCTTGTCTCTCACTCATCCTTTATTTGTCCGTCTTTTACAAGTTCCAGCCATTTTTGCTTTTTATTTCGTTTCTTTTTCTCGCATTCGGTTCACACAAACCTGTTTCTTTTCAGCAGCAAGTAACGCTGGCACTGCAGGTGAGATATTCAGCTGTAAAACTGGATGTTTGAGTCTTTGTGATTTTCCCCATAAAATATCCAGACTTGTGCTTCTTAAGAAGACCGCAGAGCAATTCTGCAAATTCATGCACCCATCTTTGCAACAGATGCTGAGCTTTACTTGGCAGGTCTGCTTGCACATTTTCCCCATTGGCTGTCCCGTTCAAGGTTAGCACAGAGTCAATATGAGCCGATACATTCCTGCTACGCCCTGCTCACACAATTCTGACCAGAATTAAAGTTTTGCTCTCTCTTTTTTTCTGGATGCTACTTGCTTGCTGTAGACACCAGCGGTGTCCAAACGTTTTGCACCATAGGGCAAAATCATAAGGTTAACTTTTTTTCTTTTTAACACTAAATTTTATTTTATTTTTCTCTGTTTCATTGAAATATTGCATGTTTAATTTGTTGTTGAGCAAGTAATGAGAAAATAACTAATTATGATAAGTGTAAAAAAGGATTTGACAAGTTTGCCTTAATTTGAAGAAAAGGTGTATATTTTAATAACCTTTTGGGTGCGATGTTTCGCATTTCTTTCGGTTGTACATGTTTTTAGTATGTTCTGTGCAACATGAGTTTGCTTGTGTAATAGGTAGTTGCGTTTCCATTACAAATGTGCACATTTATATCAATAGTCTGCTAAATTTGAAAAACAATCTGCAGTGTTTCTATTGGATAAGAAAATAGATTAAAGTCACAGGATAAGTTATTAAAAATCTTCGCGGTGACAAATCTAAACACAACCTGAGCTATGTTCTTATTTTGCTGCATACAAACTGATATGAGGCAAAAAAAAAAGTGTTTGTTACTGTTTTGCAAAAAACCCTGCACCAATTTCAATCTAGCAGGTGGAAAAAACTTACCAAAACTTAAAAAAAATATATTGTATTATGTTTCTAATTTAAATGTAGAAATTGGAATTACAGAAATAAATTTGCTTAATAGAAACATGCCAATTTTAGGAAAAAAAAAACTCTCATTATAATGGAAAACACCGCAACTGCAACATCATTATTTATTTTATTTTTTTTTTTACTTTTGCGGAACACTGCTAAAGTTTTTTTGCACATTTGTATTGTAAACGTAACTAATAATGTATTTAAAGTGTTTATTTTTGTTCATTTTGATGATTGCTTCCTTAGTTAATGAAATTCAAAATCCAAAAAAAGATTACATCTCTGCAGAACCCACACATGCTGGACACAAACTTGGGCTCCTGCTACAGAAACATGGCTGTTTGTCGTACAGTTTTAGTCAGCTACTCTCCTAAGCAAAATAATCGTATTTGCACAACCTGCCTTTCTTTTTCTTTCTTTTTTTTCTCTTCTTCATGTATTTAAAAACAGCTGCGCATGCAGTGCTCTTGATATGGAAGACAAATTCCTTGTTTGTGAACACAAACACAAGCTGAATCTGATTATCAGCTTTGTGATTTTAAGGTAACTCCTTGTGTCCCCCTCTGTGTTTTTCCTTTAATTCGTCCCCAGAGTGGAACGAAGTTCAACGTGAAGGGCTTCCACAACCCGCCGCCGGTGAACGGAGCCGCACTGGCTAACCGCGGACACACACATGCGCAGTACCACCGCAACTCGTGGACACGGCGCAGGAAGAGGGACAGCCTGCCCGTCAGCCTCAGCAGATAGAAACCACTGCTTCTTCCTCTTTAACCTTTTCTCCCTCTTTTTTTTTTTTTCTTTTTTTCTTTTTTGGTCTCCCCAACTTGACACCCCTAAACGGGACGGACGGACAGAAAGAGGGATCAGAGACCAGCTGTTTTCCCTTTTTTTCCCGCGGAGCAGCAGCCCTTTAGATCCGTATCCTCCTCCGCTCTTCCTCTTCTTTTTCGTTTCAGTATTATGTTCCTGTCAGTGTTGTCCCTTTTTTTTTTTTTTTTTTTGTCGCTTCCGGCGGTGACGGCACTACCAGCTTCACTTGACCTCGCTCTCCAACCCTTTCGGCAAAGCCGCTTGTGGTTTGGTGTTACACTTTGTTCTTTTTTCTTATGTTTTTTTCCCACACACTTAAGCCGTTTTCTTTTTTTGTTTGTTTGTTTGTTTGGTGCAATAATGTTTTTTTCTTTTCAAAATTAAAGCTGTTATTTAATTGTGTGTGTGTATATGTAAAGGCATTTTTATATTTTTATTTTTGTAGTTGTAAAATGTTGTTTACAAAGCGTCTCCCCGGGCAACATCTGTGGAGGCTTAGAGCGTGCATCTCTGTAGGTGACAAAGTTGGGATGGACCTGACTTTAAACTTTAAACCCCGCCCCCTCCTCCTTTTTCTTTTTCTTTTTTCTTCAAGTGTGTTAATCTTTATTTGGCATCAATGTGGAGGTCAAAGAAAGCTTTGATTGCAATATTGTCCGTTTTTCATCCTACTTCCCATTGAGTTTCAACCTCGAAGTTTTGTCGATGTGATAAGATTGTGCATATCCTCCTTCCACTAAATCTTTTACACCGGGGAAAAAGGGAGGGCAGGCGGGATTAGGAAATGCTTCAGCTCAGCTTACTTGAATTTAAAGATCAAGAGTCTCAGTAATAGATATAAATCAGTGCAGACCGACAATATTAAGACGCTCAGCAATGAGGTTTTCTCCTTTTTGGAACAAATGGGGGGAGAAAACAAAAAGAAAGAGGAGATGGGAAGGCGAGACCTGATGGAAGTTAGTTCTTCCTGAACCAAGAACTCTTAAGAAAGGGAATTATATTTTGATTCCATTCAGGAATCTGGTGTATATTTAATTGCCAGGTACTTCCGCTAATTGTTTGCAATGCCTTTCTTTGTGTTTACTCGGAGTGTGTGTCCGTTTTCTGCGAACACACACACACACATACACACACACATGCATACGCTCAAACAGGTCTGTGGAAGACTGAGCAGAACTGGTGTTATTACTATGCAAAAGGATTCCTCTTGATTATCGTGTCAACCGTTGTACGTTCCCATGACTACACCGCTTTGGACTGACGCTCAGGCTCGAGCCAACTCATGTGAACTCCGCCCCACCCCCACCTATTTTTTTTTTTTTTTTTTTTAAATGAAGGCCCTTACGTGTTCTGAAGTCTATAGTTTTCTACATATGTCATAAATACGGACTGGGGAGAGTGGTGTTTATGCCAGCGACTAAGTCTTGGGTTGGTGTAGTGTGTGACGTAGTTAAAAAAAAAAAAATGTGTGTGAGAAATTGAGAATTTTTGACTTGCCAATGCAGGTTTTTAAAAAAAAAAAAAAAAAAAAAAAATAAAAAAAAAAAAAAAAAAAAAACCTCCGGTAGTGCGCCCAGAGAGCGGCTTGCTCTCTGGCAGCGGCACTTTCAACAAAAGGGGTCGCCAAAGTGGTCCGAAAAACAATCTTGAGTTTTTACTGAGATTTTTTTCCTTCAGCACTGTTGAAACTATTTATTTATATGTTCTTGTTTCAAAGAAAGCTCAGCAACTCTAATCTTTCGGTCAAAACTGCATCTGGCGTCCTGTTTTTGTTACATTTAACCAAAAGTTTAAAGGAAAAAAAAAAATTAAAAATCACAATAATGCGTTTTTTTTGTCATGCATTCAGGGTGGAAATCGAAGGTGGTTCAGATGTTTCTGGCTACAGATAAAATAGGTAGAGATGAAGTGGATGTGATTGACTAGTCGTCCACTCTGAACCTGGAATGAAATCGGTGAAGGAAGGCGCCTTCGCTGGGTTAGAGTTGTGAGTTATCTCTGGAAGTCTGTATGGATTCAGATTCTGTGCATCTCAGCGGTCCGAGGAGACTTGCTCTTCTGCGCTTCCCTCCTCCTCACGCCCCCGGTGGTCTGTAGGACGTTTAACGAGTCTTATTCAGATTTTTCCTCATCGTCCTCACTTGTTCAGATTGGAGTTTTAAGGAAAAAGGCGAGCAGGAATGAAGAGGCACGGAGCGTCGCCTGGGTCGCTGAGATTTACGTGTTGACGCAATGTAATATTCCCCGTCCCTCCATTGTGACACAATGAGGGATTTTAAACTGGTGACCTGCAGCCCATCACTAGCCTTGTCAGTTCATGTCACCCTCCGATTGGACACTCGTCTATCAGTGACCAGAGGGAACCATTGCCAAGCTTTTCTCTTTTTTTTTTGTTGACATTTTTATGTAAATATATTTTTTTCTATTTTATTTTTTAAATAAACATTTTAAAACTGCCAGTTTCTTGTTTGTGTTTTGTATGTAAAGGGTTTACAATACTACTGTCTTGATGCAAGTACTTTATTAAAAACCTTTCTACTGTTTTGACATTAGATCCAGCTAAACTTTTTCCTGTTTGAGGTCATTTATGTTTACTGAAGCTACTTTTTTTGTTCTTTATTTTGTACCACAGTACTTAGGTCAAATGTTTAGGGTAACCATAACAACTTCCTGACATATTATTCAGGTGGATGCGAAAACATAAATCGGCGGCCCCCCAAACCCCCCGAAGGAAGGTACATAAGGGTGAAGGAGCGTAGAAAACATACGGTCGCTCATATGGATAGAGCAGTGTTGTTGTACTCGAAGTTGGTCTTGGTCTTAAGACCA